GTGGAGCTGCCTCTCCTCTTCCAACGTAGCCCTATTATTGCTCTCAGGGATTTCGGGAGAGAAGAAAGTTGATGTAGCGATCGCTGAGCGATCGTCGCTTTGTGGCATTGCTGCATTATCTAAGTTAGAGTTGTCCACGCCTTCACTTGTGTGAGCAGCGACGTTGGCGTCTCTATTTGTGTTCTTGCCCCTTACTATCAGATTGTTTATGGTTATCTGATGTAAGATATGATTAGATTAATCTGTCGGATTACTATCTTTATTATTAATAATAATAAGACTTTCTGTTAATTATTAGCTTATAACTAAAGCGGAATTAATGATTATTAGCCTACCCTGACTATTTTCATGACTAATATAACCTCTGTCGTTAATAGAGCTATTTATAGAAGAGTCCTTAGACATATAATAGCCAGGAACTACAGATAGCTAAATAGCAGAATTATTATTAGTCTTAACCTGATCTACAAAGATTAGTGTCTCTATAAGTAGAGAGTTAAAGAACAACTATACAGGAATATTCTTAAAAAAGGATTTTTGTAACATAGGCGTAGTGCCTAAAGGAGATAGCGCTAGACTTTTAGCTGCTTAGACAGACGGATTTAGGGAGGGAGAGCAAGGAGGGTTTTGGGAGGCAGATAAAGATTTGAAAGTCTATTAACAGAATTTAGTAAGCGAATAGTCATCCTAACTAGTTTATAATATAGTGTAATATTGTTAGCTTACTTCAAGGTTAGCTTAATAAGCCTAATAAGCCTGTGTTGTAGGTAAGAGAAGCTTCTGTAATAAAGAAAGCTTGTCGTTATTACTTTTATTACTATTTACATTATTAGTCCTTAAAGATATATTAGATATAATTAACTTTATATTTAAGTACTAAATACTGTAAAGCTATAAAACACTATTTGATAGCTTGTTCTAACTTAAAATAAATGATTATTATAAGATTAGACTATATAAGGGCAAGACTAAATATTTGCTAGTAAGGAGCAGCTTATTATAAAGAAATAGACTATACTTCCTAGAGTATAGTTAGTAGGAAAGGACTTTTATTATTGTGATAGGATTGCCTGTACACAACAGAAAATATAGATACTGTAAAAAAAAAGAAGGAGATATAGACTTTTTCTAAATCTTAAAGAAAAGAGCTATTAGATCTAAGTAAGAGAGGAGTCTAGGATTTTATAAATAAGCGGCTCTAGTCCTTTACTAAATTTATAGTAGCTACAACTGCCTAGCTTGCCTATTACTTTGTGTATTATAATAGGGATTAACCTTTAATAGCTTGTTATTACTTCTTACTTAGGCCTAGTGATTATGCTGTGGCTACTCCTCCTTTATAGCTTCTTCTGCTATAATTATCCCTTCTCTTCAGACCTGTATAAATCCACTATCAAAAGTAGCACTTAAGCAATATTTCTTTACTCTAGATTAATCTTCTATATAATGCCTTTAACTCCTGACCTTTCTTATAAGCTTACAGCCAACCCTTTGTCTATATATAATCACGCCTAAAAGTGCTAAGCAATTAGTTATATACAATTAGATATTACAGATCGCATAATAAAGAAGCAGAACCTGACTAATCTCTTAAAACGCTTTTCGTATTCTGGCAGCCCTGCGTCTTGTGACCGTCTGAAAGCAACACAGCAAGGGTACCGGATATTTATATATAACGCTATAGTGTGCAAGAAGTTGGTTAAAGCTGTAACTCTGTAAAGATGATTAGATTACAGGAATATAATTGCGTCAGTTTATACTACATAAACTTCTAATTAAGCAACTATCTAGGTTTGAGGCTATTGTCTAAGATAATAAGGTCAGAGTAGTAAAAGTAAGTCTTAATACAGCCCCTACACAGCATTTTACTTATTAGCTCTATTATGCACCTGTAGAGGCTTCTGATCGCTTGAGACTTGAATTCTGATAATTAGAGAAAATAAGTAAGACAGATCTTAAGGTAGCCAGTTGAGATGTTTTTGCTATTAGCTCTATCGCATCCTTAGCTAGACCGGATCTCATAGCCCCTATCCGAATCCGTTATCAAGGCAGGCTCTAATATTCGAGCGGCTTCTAATTAGACATGAAAAAGGCATCCTTAGGTGACGTGACACGCTATCATCTTCTGCATGTCTCACCGGATACGTTCTAGACCTGCTTCGTCGTCGCTACGCCGCTCGAGTGACGTGGCCGGCACTGCGACATTTTCACTATTGGTCCTGTCGCAGCGTCGTGTCAGCTAACACAAGATCTCCGAAGGCTGACACGTCACGATCGTCGAGGAGGAGGAGAAACCAGCGATGCGGGATCCTACTATAGTGATGCCGGTGCCTCAGGCAAGGGAGATGTGTTAGTTGAGGGGTCGATGAAGAGATGAGATTCCAAGGGCAGGATGCCGATGGGGGCCCCATCACATAAACCGCCAGCCACCAATTCTGGTAGAGTGGGCTGTGCATCGGATCGCCGTCGACAGCCAGGCCAACAGTTGGATCAACCGGCAGGGGGAGCGTCGAATAAGAGCACGAAGGTGGAAAGGGAAGGCCGGTCAGCGGCCTAGCGCTGCGACGCTGCGACGCTGCGGGGCCCGGAAGCGGCGGCGCAGCAAGCCGAAGAGGATGGAGTAGAAGACAGAAAGGAAGAGACGGCGAGGGAGATCGAGGAGCAACGGGCTTTTTATACCCGGGCCAAGCGGCGAGAGGGCGCGTTGCCCGATCGGGCGGGGCTAAACCGGAAGAGGCAGCGCACCGGCATCTAGACTACACATAAAGTCTGAGTCGTACCCCGCATTGTGCCCCACCACTGCCTCCTCCTGCGCGCCTCAGCTCGCTGGGCTGCAGGCAGTGCGAGTTGGAGAGTGCGTTGTTCTCTCCCCTCAACGGGGGCGCGGTCGTTGATCGATCGAGTCCCTTCCCAGGCCGTAAGGAAATTGAAATCAAGCTGGCCGAGAAGACCTACCTCCACTGACCCACCGCAGTCGTCGACGTGCTGTAGCTATCCCTTGTGCTGCGTGCGGCTGGATCCCTTTTAGCGTCATTTAGAACTTGGCGCCAAAAAATGCGTATTTAGTATCTGGTGTACTATCCTCTTGCAGCAAGTACGCAATTCACCCGGGTATCCATACTCTTGATTAACTTATTAATAGCTTCTTGACTAATTACCTCCCAACCCTCGTGAATAGCTTGAAATAAGCGTTGATAATCCTCCTTACTTTTGCCTATTTGATTAAGTTCAGGATAATGATTCTGAATCTACTGCTTAAGTTACGCCTAGAGGTGTTCAATTAGATTAAGATCTGGACTATAAGGTGGCTAATCTAACACTGGTATGCCCTCATCTTCAAATTATTTCTTGACTTTTCTGGATGTATAGATAGAGGTATTATCTTGTATAAATATCATACCAGGTTGCTATATCTAAGGCATTTGATTATCAAGAACTATAAGATAAGAGTTGGCAGTGTATCCTGACTTCTCTAAATCAGGATCTCGGTCTATTATAACTATATCTGAACGACCATCTCCATGAATTGCACCCTATATCATGACGCTGATATCCTTGCCTTTCTTATAGGGTTGTATCATATCCTTATCCCACTTCTGTTGTGGTATATGAAAGACCCAAACTCGCTATGCCTCTGAGCCTCGTTCAAGGCTACATTCGTCACTCTATATTATCTTGCGCTATTGATCCCAAGTCCAATTTCTATACGCTTTTGCCTATGCAAATCGTTTAGCAACCACTTCTAGAGTAAGCAAGGGCCTTTTTTTGGCTATCTAATTAGTAATACCCTTATACTTGAGTAATTTGTAAAGGGTATTCGGATGAACAGTAACCTTAGCTTGGGACTTGAGTAGGGCATAGGTAATCTTCGGATTGCTTCGTACAATGCGTAGAATATTTTGTTTATCAACTCTTAATAATATAGGGGGTCGACCAGAGCGCGGGCGCGATTGCCCTGCGTTGCGCAGGCATTCTCTTCGTAGGGTAGTAGCAACAGTTGTTGGTGTACAAAAGACCTTGCCACTAATTTCTGTATTTGTCAACCCCACAGCCTTATATGCAGAAATCTGAGCTCGATCCCATATAGATAACTCTTGATTATATCCTCGATTGCCAGAAATAGCCTTGAGAGGCTCTCGTTGAGCCATAATAGTCGAATGAATAGAGTGATGAAATTCGCGTGGTAGCATTTAGCGCGTTTTGCGACTCAGACTTTTTGTGGGGTACTGTATGGCACCTGAACCGTGGCCCTGTGACTGGCCCTCTAACCTGCAGGGTGGCCACACCGCTAAGGCTGCTGCCTGCGGTGACTGGCCAGGGGTGAGCGACACCTGCACCTCACCCGGGCTCATCAAGACTGGGGTGAGCTTGAGCGGCATCACCCTAGGCCCGGAGAGGTCGTGAGCTCGAGGCAGATTTTTCTTTACTTGGCGTTATAGCGAGAATTGCTGGCGCCAGCTCGATCAGATAGAAACAGCTCTTCAGGACTATTGACATAGTGAGATTAGATGAGCTATATGTTAGGGATTCAGAAAATACCCGGAGGCATTGTCAGACTGCCACGGTCTGACGCAAAACAGACGAACAAAAGACGGACTCAGAGTGTGTGAATGAAGTTGTATGAATCTACATGCCCTGAGGGCGCCGAAAGGCATCTACGCTAACTAGCTATCTGGGCAGGCCATGCAGGCCCTTCGGCCCTGCCATGCAGGTGCATGACAGGCGCATGACAGGTATTTTGACATAGATTATAGATATATGAGAATCTTTTAAAGGAGTAAGTATTTACCTCTCACCTCTAGTTTCTGGGGCATCCAAATACTCCCGTATCTTACATAATCCTTCCACAGCAACGATTTCAGCGTCTCTCCGCCTTGCGCTTATAGATCTGATTGGCCCAACCTCTAACCCCAAAGCATCATCAAGCATTGATCTTTTTTGCAGATCGCCGTGCACCTCGATCTTGTTCTTTGCAAGGATCTTTTTCAATCTGATCCAGTATGACTGACCAGCCCGAAGGCCCGGGGGAACTTCACGAACGAATCCATACAGGTGGCAACAGTGAGTTGTGCACCGCATGCCAAAAGATTTTCAGTGGCATGCAACTCTTCAATGAGCATGAGCACATGAAATATGGGACACTGGTCTATAATGCGGCGCATGGATGTTCCTTGTGTGCGATGTTGGCTTTGCATTTCTCGTCGCAATCAGATGGCGTCCGGGACGGTCAGATGATCAAGACTTGGCTTAGTTTCAAGTCGCGATTGAGTGATGGGCTTACTCCCATAATCTGGGCCCGACTGATGGATAGCGCGGAGTCATCTCCCATCGAACTGCACATGGTGCCCTTGACTGGTAAGTCCTTTTTGTGGCAGGCTTGAATTACGGCGTATCATCATCACTGAGTAAGGTGGACTCCAGAAGTCGATCCATCGCTGGTTGAGCATGTCATCGCGCCTTCCACTGGCTCGTCAGCAAATCAGAAGCTGGCTCAACAATGGTTCCAAGAGTGCCTCCATTCTCACCAGGCCTGCAGGCCGGACATAGAAAGCTCCTGGCTTCCAACACGCCTACTACAGATTGATTTTCCACGCCACGTTCGTTTGGTGGATGCCAGAGACATAGTTTCAGACGGTGGGTATGTGTGTCTCAGTCATTGCTGGGGCAGCATCGACATCATAACATTAAATCAAAAATCCGTGTCTGAATTAAGAAGCGGGATACTTATTGAAAAGTTGCCGAAAACTTACAAAGAAGCTATTTTTGTTGCCTCGCAGTGGTTTAACTGTTCATACATCTGGATTGACTCCTTGTGCATAAAGCAAGATTCTATAGAAGATTGGGCTCGTGAAGCCTTGACAATGAGAGAGGTCTACAAAAACTCTCTGATCACTATCGCGGCAACGGGTGCACACAACTCGATGGAGGGCTGTTTCTTTGATAGAAATCCTCAGAGCGTGAAACCTCTTAGGGTCGCCGCAGAATTGGACGTACTTGGCAAAGGGCTGTTCTACTGCCTCGATCGGGAAACGTGGGCCAGGGGCGTCGAGAAATCTCCTTTGGGTCGAAGGGCGTGGGTCTTACAAGAGGTGAAATATGTTTCCTGCTGGAATTCAAACCTAGGGTACGGCTGAACGCTCCAACAGCGCCTACTATCGCCACGCGTTCTTCATTTCGGTAGAAGTCAAATCTTTTGGGAATGCAGCGCACTAAATGCATGCGAGACGTTCCCCAAAAAGATGCCAAAAGAGAACGAAGATCTGAGATGGCAATGTCTTATCAAGAATATGCAGGGTTTTCAAGAGGGAGCTGCCTTTCCTCTCCACCAATGGAATAGTATATGCTCCTCCTACATGCAAGGTGGGTTGACAAAGGTCACGGATAGAGTTGTGGCATTTTCTGGGATAGCCAAAGAGATTCAGGAGCTTATCAAGGACGATTATCTTGCAGGACTCTGGGGACGCATTTTCTTGAGGGGATTATGCTGGTCTGTTCGGGACTGCCAACAGGTCAATGGTGAACCTTCATTTAGACCACAGTATTACCGTGCTCACAGCTGGTCTTTCTTATCGGTCGAGGGAACTGTGGAGAGTTTCTGCGGCAGGCCACCAGAATGTGAGCTAATCGATATAGTCGATGTCCGCGTTACTGTCATAGGACAAGATCAGGTGGCTGGTCCCATGGAGCGAGGCTACTTACAAGCTCGTGGCTTCGTACGTCCAATAACTTGGAAACCTGGTCCGAACAATGATATGACTTTGAAGTGGATGTTCGACGACACAATCGTGTACACCGGTATCCGAGTGAAATTGGACGAATCTCCCAGAGTCGGTGGCCTTTCGCCGAATCTTCACTGCGTCCCAATCTCTCAATACGACTACGGGAATGGGGCCAGAACGATCTGGTTTGGCCTTGTCCTGGAAAGCACCGGAAAGCGAGATAGGGAGTTCCGGCGCAGAGGCGTATTCGACATCTGGGACGACAATCTATTTGCTCAAATGTTCCAGCGTCGCATGGTGAGACCGAAAGAGGAACAAACAGAGCCCGATGGCATTGAGTATGCTGATGGTTGGGACGGGGTCCAAAAGACAGAGTTTACCATCATATGAAGGTCACCACCGAGCTGGCTGGAAAACGAAGGCTAAGATAAGAATTATTATAGCAGCTCGATGGGCTCTATCAAGGGCTAGCACAGTGTCTAAGCGGTGATGCGCAAAGCCTGTCAACATCGATGGCGGAATTTAATGTTCAGCGAGACGGTTAGTAAGGGTGTACAACACCTACTCGTCAAAGTGGCTCATACCATTAGTAGGGCACAAACGTGGAGCCTGCACAAATCTAGCATCGTTCCGGTAGAACTGCACATATCGCTGGAGAACCACTCAAAAGGGAGAGCAGTATGGAAAGCAGCCTGTTGAATTTACATATTGCCCAGGTTCCATTTTCCGTTCGATATTTTACAGTGTCACCAGTGTATTCAACTTGTATCATGTAATCTTCACTTGTAACACCGACTGAGTAATTTCAGCCCTGGTGCCTGAACCAAGCCGCTAACTGGGTAGTTAGTAGCAACGGCCGCAGAAGCGGGGCCCCGGAACCACAGGCCCGGTTTCCCCAAACTTTTGCGGCGTCAGATTCCGTACCTTGTAACAAGGGAACAAAGGCATCAAACTTTCCCGGCCTCTTTCATGTTCCCTTTCCTTCCAACAAATCTGTCAAAATGTAGTTCTCTCCACAAATCACCCTCTGGGCTCGCTATGGAGAAGATGGGAGGGGACGACAGCAGTAGCAGCACGGCCAGCGAAAGAGCGCTTGATGAGTCAGCGGTGCTGTCAGATGAGTCAGGCTTTTACGGTAACTACTACTAGCTTCCTCCAGATGGCTTCCGCGGTGTGACTGACTACCAAATCTCGGATCGAAAAAAGCAGGGGACGAGAATATGAAAGCTGAGTATGAATCGAGGGATTCAAAATTCGATCCTGCGGAGTTCTGGAAAGCGCAGCAAAGGTCTTTACAGTGGATAGCGGAGCAGAACCGAGAAGCGGCTGAGGCGAAAGCGGCGAGGGCACGATATCACCGCGACAGATTGGATGCAGCGCAGAAGATGGAGCACGCCGATAATGTTGACTCAGACCCTCCGCACCCAAGAGATGTTCCTTTGGATAGAGATACCATGGACGTCGACCTTCCTCCCTTACGCCAAGAACCTTCGCTATCACCAGCACAAGAACTCCACAACCCGTACGAAGGCGACTCGATGGCCAACAATTGCACGAACCTCTCCCCACCTTTCTCTCCCGCCTCCCACCCTCCACCACACCCCTCACCACCGGTCCCTGGATCCGGATCGCCAATCCGCACCACCACCACGCCCACCGCCAAGCCCGAGGCAAACACGACATCGCGGGCCTGAAACAAGAAGGACACCGGCTACTACAGAATTTCTCTGCCCAGCGTCGGGTACGATCACGCGCATGATGAAACCGGCGAGAGATCTGCTCGAGGAGGACATCGTCAAGCTTGCGCGCGCCAAGAATGTCAAGGAGGGGAAGTGGATGCTCTTTCCCTCGCCTAAGCATGTGGATGGGGTGTGGGCTAAAGTTGCGAGGGCGACGTGGGAGGGGGAGCTGGGGGTGGGTGCTAAGGTTGCGACGAAGAATGAGGATGATGATGACGAGAGGTCGGAGAAGAGTCGGTTGGTCTGTGTGTATACGCGGGATGTTGAGGATCGCGTGGATGTGGAGAGGGTGCTACAGAAGCTGGTGGGGATGGGGTTGGTGGGTGGTGAGCAGGGCATCTTTTATAAATGTGATGCTTACACGTATCTGGATGTTATGGGTGGGAATGAGTGGAAGTTGAAGGCGAGCATGTATGGGAGTAGGGAGATGTTGAAGAAGGGATGAGCAAACCGAAAGGGATATGTCGGATGTTGCTGGTTGTTCAGGTCATCATCACCTTTGGTCATCTAACTGCGTGCATGGGCATGCGTTGTTCGAAATATCTGATCAGCAGCACTTGGCGAGCTACCCTGGGAGAAGATGGGATGGAGAGGAAGCGGCAATGGGAGTAGTCGCTAACTCGCGTGTCCAATACTGCTTTTCCCGGGCGTGTTAGAGATACCCTTGCCTTGTCGCACTGCACTGCAGGCGTTCCGCTCTGACAATCTCGAAGCGGTAGTTGCTTCAAAAAGAAAGCTGATAAATAACCCTGTCTTCTCATTGAGATGAAATCATCCTGCCTGGAATGGAGTCGCAGGTGGCTGACCTCCCACGACGACAAACAAATAAAGCCATGCCATCTAAAGGCAGTGCGTATGGCTCGGATGGAGTGCTTCGACGAACAGACTTGGTTTTTATAAGTTAGGAGATACATGTGCACACCGATCAGTTGCAATTTAAAGTTACCCGTTTGGGTCGGTGGATTTCTGGCAGGGCAATCCACTCGATTCATGTGTCCCCGTTTAGGTGCTCCTCGATATCTGCATTTCCTTAGTGGAACCTCCCAGCACCAATGTGTATGCTATGGAGCAGGAAAAGCCGACATTGAATTGGGGAGCAGTGGCACCGAGTGTCTGCATCTAAATTAGATAAGCAGCTGATAAGTATTGTACGTGCGGTCTCTGCATGAATTTGATCAGGGACCCGTAACAGCTTCTACCCTGAGCTAACGACTTGCTGCCCCCAACCGCCGAAATACATGCCGCCGGCCGCACACTCTGGATCTTGTTCCTCGTTCTGTGAACTCTTCTCCCATGCCCCGTCCCAGCACACTTTATCATAGGACTCCTCTACGCTTCGGCCCATCTCTTCCCGAAACTGTCTTGGTAGGCCTTCCAATTCTTCCACCTTGCCTTCGTCAATCTTGCTTTGTAGGATGGCCGCCATCATTAATGATTCCTGGATGCCCAAGCTATGACCAATATGTCTCAACCTTCCCAGTACATAGAGCCGCATGGATTGTGGGACGCCGAGTGTACTTCCAGCAAGATAGATGGCCGGCAGAGAGAAGTATGCCCATACCGCTGGGGCCGGACTGCTGAGTTGTTCGTCGTAGCGCTTGTCGTGCCCAAGGAGGTAGGGCACGCTGGCGCAGATGTCGAAGGCTGTTTCACAGATGATGGCAAGGGATCTGGATCGTTGAGACTGGGGGTCTAGCGTTGTGATGATGGGTTCAGGCTGGGCCAGCATCTCGTCTATCTGGGCGAGAATGGCTTCTTGTATGAAGATGCGTGTTGCGCGCTGAACGTTCCACACCCCTGCAATCCAGTGGGTATGGTACACAGCGTAGGCATCGTCATAGATGATGCTTGGTTTGGTCGAGTCGAAGACAATGGTATAGTCCCATTGGCTAGAACGTTCGGCGCCCCAGTTCACGACGGCGTCGTCGAGCTCGAGTAGCGAGGCAATGTTCGTGTACGGGTCGGTAAGGGAGCCATCCCTGATGGAAGCGCGGAGCTCGCAAAGCCGGTAAATAGAGTCGGCGAGATCATTTACTATGCTGCAGGAGGAGTTGGGAGTTCGGGGAAGTCGGCGACCAAGTTCGAGGATGATTGGTGGGACACGTACTTCGCGCTGATAGCAGCTTTTGAGCTTGTAGAGTTGGTAAGTAGCTAGTCTATGCTTTGATGTGCAGAGGTAAAGAACGCATGACTTACAATTTGTGACCGAGCTTGAATAAAGACTGCAGAGCCAAACTCGGAATCCAGCATATCTACCCCACGCAGGTTTAGTAGGGCAATGCTGCCGTTAATGTGATTTGTCCAGGCCTTCATCGACATGGACGATGAGCAGGTCATAACCTATGGGTCTGTATAAGTCATGTGAAATCAACGTGACGGTTCATGAAGCGAACCTCAAAGAATCCGAGAAGTCCAACTGCGGTCATTGTGCGATCTTGCTTGCATTGGGCAGGATCTTGGAGATGGCTCTTGGTCATGCGCAACGCCAGGGCATACTGACGGCGTGCATTGGCCATCAATATCGGATTGCTCCTCCGGACCGATAATGCTGCCAGGCCGACCGCTTCCATGGCAACTTGCAGAGTCTTGCTCTGGGTCGTCTTCCAAGAAAGCAAGTTCTGCATATGGCCGGAGCATAAATCCGGATCGCTTGTAACATAGTTGGCAAGGAAGTATTGAATGCCTTGAGTTTCGACCGAGGGTCCTGGCGCACCGGGAAGAGATGATCCCTTAAATGAGCAAATTGAAGATTTATTGCGAAGCGATGTTAGACAGAGTCCATCAAAGTCGGAAGAGCTGCCAGAGGACGCTTCAGATGAGTCACTAGGATTTACCGATCCATGTGCTCGCCGTCGCAGCTTAAGGACCTCCTTAACTTGAGCTTTATGGGCCACTTCGTTACTCTCGTCGCAGAATCTGAGGGCCAGCTCTTCACGGTATCCCGGACACAGACGGCCGTCTCTGGACTTGAGACATTGGGAGCACGCCGGCCGAATTTGATCACACTACAATCTCGTTACATCTCCGCCAATCTGCTCATTCGGGCATACTCACTCTGATCTTTTTCCTGCGACATTCCCCACATCCTTTGCTTGGTTTCCCCCTGAAGACCATGGAGATTTTGCTAAATTGCCAGGCTGTCCTGCTGGATCACCTCAATGGTGAGTGTCGAGAACGACTCCTGGTTTACATGGGCATACATAACACGAGGGTCGTGACCCTTCAACTCCTTCACGGCTTTATGAACTTTCTGCGAGTCGGAATTCAGATCGAGTGGCTTACATCTGGGAGGCACTCGGTATTACTACGTACTCGAGTAGAGCAGTGGGCTGATACGTACCCGTCCAGTCTAACTATAACCGGTAGAATTCACGGGCGCCACATGGTCACGGCTAGAAAAGAAGGACGTTGATTCGTTCACCATGTTTCGCTTGCAGACGAAGCGTTGTAACGTCTCTCAGCCGCACTTGGCATTGAACTGACTTCTTCACGGGTACTCCAAACCCTCCGAAGCGCAAATGCACCCGTGGAACAGCGAACGGACTGAATACAGAAGCTGAGGTCGCAGTCTAGCTCCACACTACTGAGTGTCAAGACAGAGAACAACATTCCATGAATGCTGCCCTGCCAAAATGCTAAGCCTGCTCCGTCATAAAGCTAATGTCGTGGAACGCCTAGTTTCCGTTTTGGGGTATCATTTTATCGTGTCTTCTTCGACACGCAACTACCATCGTTCGATCAATCAACCACGTCCCTCCCATTATGCACCAATATACCACACCTCAACCCCAAGTACATCAAATTTGTGTCCCTCTTCGCTCAGAGCTTCGTTCCCAAACGTCGGGCACGGATCGCTGATGCCGTGTTCAAGTTGATCATCCAGCCAAAGCCCATAATGACCGTCCCCACCACCGACGCTGAGGTACCCGCTTTCGCAATAGATCATGAAATCATTGATGCCGCTGTAGGGAAAGGCTTTGAAGCGAATTCGGTCGGGAGTGCTTGTGCCGGATTGTTCTTCAGCCGGCAGCTGGAGAAGGAGATCTCCGTTGTGTGTAGTTTGGGGTTTTGGTGAATGGTCACCTCGCAGAATAGTGGTTCGTTGTAGGTTGGTGGTGTCTGCGCTGGGTGGCGGAGGGAGGCCAGCTAGCTGCAGAAGGTCTTCAGATGGAGGCTCGCCATTACTGTTGCCATTGAGGCCGGAATGGAGAAAACGGACAGAGGAGAGAATACTGGCTTTCCAGAGGAAGCATTCGCCAGTGCCGAAGTAATGGAGGGAAGGTTTTGGAGGGTCTGTAAGGTACGCGCCGAATATTGCGCCATTGCTGGCTGACGCGGAGTCGCGGATTACAACTACGTAGCCGGCGCGCTGACTACGGGCAGCTGCGCGTTGACAGCAACTGTACAGTGTGTGTAAAGATGCTCCATGTGCTTCGAGGCTGTATGCCAGACGCCAATTGTCTACCAGCTGGAGGCGTGGTGGAACGAGGAGCCGTATCTCTTCGGCAAGTGAACGGGTGAGTAGTAAACGTGAGGGAGGGCCTGTGGATCTTAGAGTGAGTGGGGTGAGGGGCGGAGGAGTGAAAGGCGATGCTGTGCGTTTCGGTGGTGTGTAATATCCCGAGGATGATACTGGCGCGTCGAGTAGTCTTGATACCGATTGGTCTGGTGGCTCAGTCATCCGCCGGTAAAGACTAGAAACGACGTGCTTGACAGGGTATGCGAGGTATGCAGCTGAATTCGGATTGTGCGGATTCGATGCCAAAGTTGGCTCGGCTGGGCGGGTATTGTGTCTGCCATGCTCATCACTGGGCGGCTCCATGTCTTCAGGTTTCCTCTATGTTGTGGGAGGAAACTCATCGAGAGCATCACAAGAAGACGTCGTCCAGTATTCTCGGCAAAGTTTGGAAAGTCACTCCACTGTTGCATGGCCATGATTTGGCCGTACGGAATGCCAAGCAAAGGATAATCTGGCCCCACTGCGTAATGTTCAGGTAACTGCTATTGATGGTTGGGGACCCCGTGGCTGGGGATGGCGCCGCCTCTGTACTAGTACTAACGGCTGGCTCGCCCACACCCGAGGCTCAAAGGACGCGGGAGTCCGACCTCACCCGACACGTGTTACCACCTTACGTAGTACACGTCAACAACAAGCCTCGAAAATCACCATCACCCTACAAAGCATCTGCAACGTTTGATTTGACTGTGCAGCATTTGCTACGGGCTGTCTAGAAGTACTGGAAGATATGTCGAATATTAGCTAGAGAATCAATTATGAGCGGGACAATCTGCAACATCAAGAATCTCCTTCTACAAGGCACATTCACAATACGGGCCGAATACTGGTGGGTTAGCCGAGGCGGAGAATCAGTCTACCACTGTGACACAAGGAATGATGCGTAGGCAACAGTGGACGCACAGGCAACGTTTTGGACAATTGGAGCGACTTGTCGTCCAAGCAGTACGTGGTACATGTACTGCCAAATCCTTGGCGGCGCTGCGTGTCACATGACCCGCGCTCGTGCCACTCCGCACAGTAGTTAGCCTCTCCTCCTTCTGAGATAGACTCTGCAGGTAGATAGAATTCAGATCATCCACTTCATCAATAAACAGAAAAATCTTAAAGCAAGTGACTAAGCTCTAGATATCAGGCTTGACTGAAACTTTAATAGAATAAAGTGAACAGTTATAGCCGAGTCCCAATTAGACCAGAACTAGAACTTGCCAACTCGTCATTTAGCATGTGTTCCGTCTCGCTCCAGTCTCAGCCAAAGTCAGAGCAGCGCTTGCTCGGGTCTGGAAATGGAAAGCGCACCTGGTGAGATCAATTCTGGTGGCGGTCGGTATGTAACAAAGGTGTTCGCTCCTGGCGCGATGGGCTATCAGGCCACTCAAATCCTGATTCATTCACCGAATTCGGAGAGACCCATCGAAATCCTTCCAATCTTCTATCAACGGCATGACGATTGTTTCAAGAACCGATTGTTGGAATTCGTTGTCTTCAAGAGTCGGCTCCCGAAAATCGATGGGCCAGAACAAACACCTTCGGACCACGTCACCGTACCTGGGACCACTATCGCTATAGACGTAATCTAGAGCAGTTTTTAGATTCTTCATTGTCTCTTTCGAGTCCATCTCCTCTGCCTTCTCCAAATCTGCCCACGTCTGCCCAAGGCTGAGTTCCAACAGTGTAAGACCAAGTGGGAAGAAGATCTCGTCATGGATGAGATGAACCGCAAATGGGGAGTGCGGGTCTGAACTCGTAAGCGCGTCATGTTTGTCCTTTTGTGGGACATCCCATGACAAGTATGGATGATGAACAGCATCCGGATTGGAGCCAGCTTTTAGGAGGAAGAAGATATCACAACTCCGCCAGTGCTTTTTTAGCCACGACCCATTCAGTTGCAGTACGCTGGACGCAAGTGATGCAGCGATGAAAAGTCGATCTCGACGGCTGAAGAAAATTGTGCCAGGAGGCCTCCGGCGGCCTATCTGTTTCCAAGAGGCCAAGAGCTTCTCGAGAGACTGTGGTTGAGCGTCTGCGCTTTCCCCGTCTCCAAGAACAAAAACGTCGTGACGATGGGCGATCGATGAGGCGTGATCATCCAACAAGAAACCAATGCATTTGCGAATCGAACAAGGAGTAGAATGCAATGCGGAGCACATGTCTGTGATTGGAGCAGCCAAAGTCGCAATCGAAACGGGAACTGGGACGTTGGTGGATGGGCCGCCAATGGCAAATCTGACACCTTTCTTGATCGTGTCAGCTGCAAGAGAATTAGGCGAGCCCTTGATGTCTGAACAAGGGGCATTATGACCTTGAGAGATTTGACCTTTTGAGATGGAGACTGATCCTGTAGTGGAGTTTGAGGAAACGTCTTGGGCACTTGCAGCTTCGGCAGGCTCAATCTCCACCTCTTGCCACTTCCAGACAGCTGGAATGGTGCCTGGTACATTTCCAGCTTGATGCATGCAGTTCAGGAGGATACGAAACTTGAGCTTGTTACCGTCGACCCCTGCTGCATCCCAGGGCTGAGGCTCTAGACGAATATTGACTACGTGCGGGTGGCCGCAGTTCCATGGTTTTCTTCCGATTACAACATTGTGCAGGCTCCTAGCAGACCTCCTAATCTTTTTGAAGTCGGCAATGCGTTGACGGTGGACGCCGATTCGTCGTCTGCTTCGGACAGCTTCGAGATACCGATTCTGATGTGTGAACTCACGAAGATCTTTGTTTGCTTTGTCGATTTTGGCGAGGAGCTCTGCATAAACATTTTTCGACAGAACGGTCTTGAGTCTTTTGAGTTCGCGTCCCAGACTAGGCGTACTGTCCCAGGTCACCTAGATTCAGGTATTAGCATCCTAATCCAGAACACTGGTTATATGTGCATGGGCTTGGAGCCGGTGTAGGATTTAGGTTAAGCAGCAGCCCTCGCTAGCGAGCTTCAAAGACGTGGCCTACTCACACATCATAGTCTCGAGGATTGGTTCAGGTGTTCAGGAGAATGAACGGAACAATGGTAGAACAAGATGAGGTCTGACATACTTTTCCGCTTGCATCAATGCCGAGCTTCTTCTTGAGACATTCCAGCGCGCCTAGCATCGCGTAGATAGTAGCCATGTATGGCTCGTATGAATGATCTAGTCGTGCTCGAAGTCGTGCATCATACTCCGGCCTCTGCCATGCAGGACCTCCAGGGATATCAACGAGCAGTGCGAGCTCCTTGTCTGAATGCACGATTCCGTCCAAAAGTTCTTCCAAGGTGTCTAAGTACCATATCTGTTGCGTCTTGAGCAACCGCTTATAGTCGGCAAGTTCCCGTCGATACCTTCTCCACAACTTTATGGTCTCAACGCCCTCCACAAAGGTAGTGAGACCTTGGACAACGAGGGGAAACACGGCTAGCGTTACGCCAGCTATCTCGAAGCCTGACATGATCACTAGGATGGGCAACGGCGTTAATTTATAGTATGCAATCGACTTTCACTAACTTGCTAGCAGCCAGACAGAGCCTCTGTAATGAACCGATCAGACCTTGAGCGCTCTGCATTGCGGCAACCAAGCAAAAACCCAGGGCATCTCTTCAAAACCGAGAAGAGCCCTTGCGAACAATTGGTACGTGAGAGGGTTCAAAAGGATGTAAAGTCCAAGACCGTCAAATTTCCAATTCAGCTGAGACGCGGGGGTTGCGTAAGAAAGTTTTGGCCCCCATGAGGCTGATCGTACCACCTTGACCGTCGACCTCATCGATGCAAGACGGTCAAAAGATTGGCATCATTGTCTTGCCTTCTGAATAACTGGCACCGTCCGTGTTCTTGTGGTGTCACCTCTTCCAGATAACTTGATCGTTGCCTTTCTAACTTAGCGGTTGTTGCGTATCGCAGGAACTGGCTTCGTTGGCAAAAGCCTGCAGAGGAGCCGCCAGGGGCGCTGCTGTCCAGCACATCTCGTGGACCACTGACACTTCCTTTACTCCATACAATGGTTGACATGACACCAGAGCTGACTAGCGACGGCCACCGTGTTTTGCCGAGGCCATGGCGACTTCAATCGCTTCCAGTTTGATACCCTGTCTGCGCAATTTCAACAATCTTGTCGCCCGGGATGAGCTCAATGCCCACGAAGCTGAAGTTCCGAGGATAGCCTGGAATGACGAATTGGGCCGACTGCGCATATGGGCAGCCAACATCGGCGCCCACCAGACTGGACAATCATCCCTCGATTACCGCTTGAGAGACGCCTCTCATATCAGCAAGCAGATACTAAGTTTGCTTGGAGATCTGTGCTTTGCGTTGGACGAGGTCGGCCAAGTTTTATTAGATGGTCCGATCCCGGAGGAAATCGCAGACTCCGACGAAGATGATGAGACCGAGATCCAGCAGCTGTACAAGGGCATCTCAAACATCATTAAATGCCTCTACCAGATGTCGATGCTTATTCGCAAACCTGCCCGACATGATCGCCTGGTTCAATGTCGAACAGACGACGCCGCCGTCTTCCTGCCATACGATCGAGATCATGTTTACCATAAGTATCCACAGGCGGATAATGAAACAATCGAACGTCTTGCATTCGCCATCTCCAGAAGACGAGAAGATCTTCGGTACCGTGAGAGGCACCATTTGAAGCTCAGCCAGGGAATAGAATACGCTCAGAATGAGACCAGACAAGAAGGTAAATCTGTGGTCCTGTCTCAGACAATTGCAACCGATTTCAAGGAGACGCATATCGAGTTTGAGGACTCCGCCTCCAATTCCGGGTTATCTCAGACCTCCTATGCCCCATCCCTAGAGGGAGGTGGTGCAATTACTGTGCCGCCTCCTCCGAAGCAGTCTGTCAACGAACAACCATTCGAATGTCCCTACTGCTTTTTCATAATAACAATCAAGAATAGAAGGGCCTGGACTCGTCATGTTTTCAAAGACATCCTCCCGTATACATGTGTGTTCCCTGATTGCCAAGCGGCCAAGAAGATGTACGATAGTCGACACGAATGGTTCGATCACGAGTTGAAAGCTCACACCAAGAAGATATATTCTTCGGATTTGCCCTTGGAAATCGACTGCCCATTGTGCAAATCATCTATCAGGTCGGCGCGGCTCGAGCATCATCTTGCTAGACATCTTGAAGAGTTGGCTCTTTTTGCTATTCCACGAGGTGGTAATGAAGATGATGTAGACTCGGACCAGTCTGGGAACAGGTCAGATGATGGAAGGCTGGAAATTGGAGATCTGAGTAGCGAAAGCGAGGATCAGGATGAGCAAAAGAATGGAAAGCCAACCCTTGACGCAGAAGAGCAGCCGGTATTGAATGTGAGCCCAATAGTCGATAAGCGCCTCCTCTCTTCCTACCCGTCACTGATGAATTCTTTTGTTGCTAGGATGCCCTCAGCTATCTTGATCAGGTCAAACTCCGCTTCATCGATCATCCAGATGTCTATAATCGTTTCCTTGCCATCATGAAAGATTTCAAAAGCCAAGCGTGAGTTGACAGCCAAGCTGTAAGACTGACGCAGTATTGACATTGAGTGTAGCATTGACACGCCTGGAGTTATCGGGCGAGTCGCTAACCTTTTCTATGGACACCCAGACCTGTTGCAGGGATACAATGCCTTCCTTCCTCCAGGTTATAGGATTGAGTGTGGCACTGTTGATAGTCCTAATGCAATTAGGGTCACTACCCCTACTGGCACGGTGGCCAGTCATATACCCCCGTCAGGTCCATCTGACCATGATTTTTCCGCTATACCTGGGAAGCAGACATCTGGTCAGGGAGACGAGACCCCACTAAGTGAACATCATAGCTCCGGAGCACGATCCCCAAAATTCGCTCCAGAGGCGATTCCTCCGGCGCAAAGCATCAAAGTCCAGCTGTCCCAATTAGACTCCATGTCTCAAGGGGACGTCTTGAAGCGCTTCTTGGGACCAGCAGAGGCGGTTGAAGACGCCTCAGGAACCGATCCTGATGGCCTTACAGTGGAATCTGTTGCCGGCAGCCCATCAGAGGCCATGATTCAAACATTGCTGACGGCGGGAACCAAAAAGCTCCTTGATGACGAGCCGGAACATGGTAGCAGAGAGCTTGAGGAGCATGAAAATAGGCCAAATGAAATGCCAGCATGGACGAGTCAGTCTCAACTTGCGGACAACCAAATTGGCGGAAACCCTTCAATCGAAGATAACGAGGACCCGGAACGCCTGCTCCTGAGGCATAAGGGTCAGACGTATGAGTTGCAATTTCATCCACTTGCAATCACCAACGGAGGCCTCGCCATAGGCGATATCAGGAAATACGCAGCGGTAAAGCTAGGTGTGCAGTCGCAGAGAGTGAGGTTGTTCTATAAGGCGACGAAGCTGGCAGACGACACTGCCCCGGTGAAGGCATATGGGCTCAAGAAGGAGAGCGAAATTATGTGCGTCGTTACAGCAGATGACCATCAACGTGGGACCTCTATGTCATCCGGAGATGAGGGCAAGCATCCCCCCGACGCTGCTAAAGCCAAGGAAGAGGCAGAAGCGAAGCTCAAAGAGGCTGAAGCCAAATCAGCAGAGGCGGAAGCAGCGGCGGCGAAGGCGAAAGAAGAGGCAGAAGCTGCGGCGAAGGCTGATTATTACGACCCTGAGGTAGACGTGATACCCTCATATTCTGGCCTGGTGGCAGCGGGGATCCATTACAACCCCGAGCAATCTCCGCCGCCATATATCCCAACATCTCCGTCATCATCAGGATCAGTGTCGCCGGAGCCGGACACAATAACGAACGACCAAGAGGGCCATACCGAATCTCCTCGCCTCCCTGCCAAGAAGAAACCGAAGAGGAAAAAGAGAAGGAAGGGTCAAACTCGCCTATCGCAAGGTGACGCGGTACTGATCAGCTATCTAGACCCAAATCGTCCGGATATAGCGCGAGAGGTGGCTCAACACGCATTGAATTCTGCCTCTCAGTCGGAGGCTGAGGAAGACACAGAGAAGGACATGAGTGGAGATGGTGGCCGGAAACGAGCAATGCCGCATCATCACCGTGTGGCCGATGTCTTACCGTACGACTCGAGCAGTTCCGAAGAAGTCGATTATGAGACGCGCAAGGCATTAGAAAAATTAAATTTGATCTTTGAGGAGGAGAAGGCGGCCGATGAAGTCGATTATGAGACGCGCAAGGCATTAGAAAAATTAAAAATCTTTGAGGAGGAAAAGGCGGCTGAGGAGGCACAGAAGAAGTACATAGCAGATATGGAGCTCAAGAGGGCTAAAGAGCATTTGGAGAAGGCGGAGGCAGAGGAGAAGCGGAAAGCGCTCGAGAAGAAGGCGGTTGAGGAGTGGCAACGAGAACAAGACGCCAAGAAAGAGAGGGAGAAGAAAGAGAAGGAAGAGCTGGATAAGAAGGTCGAGCAACGACTGCGACAAGAGCTTGCGGACCGCAAATATACTCCTGCCGAGATCGAAGCCTTCTTGAAGTTTGAAAGTTAAAGATGCCACTAAGAGGGGAAGCTAATTAAGAAGGCCCTTGGGCGCCTTTGGAGTGATTTTTTGAGGTCTATTAACAGCTGTTATAGCCTGAGGTCGTGCCCCTCCGAATGTGTTAATATTCTCCTGGATTCAGTATACAGTTGAGCAGTAACATTAAAATCTCCGAGCTATTTCTCGTGGTTCTACGTCGGTAGCAAGCAACAAGGGCATTTCGTCGACGGTTGACTTCGAAAGGCGTAATTTGCTCATACCGAACTCAACACCAAGCGCCAAAAGTCAAGATAGAGCAAGATACAAGTGCTAGCGACGTCTATAAGCAATTTCAAGCAATTTCTACGCGTTTTTCGTACGTGGGGAGCTATTCCTATATCTCACCGCAATTCTGCCCTGCGGCACCAGCAAGTCGAGGGTAGCGCCAAGGATTCGCAAGAGTTTCGCAATGCACAGTAAGGACCAAAAATTTTAGCCAATTTATCGAGCTTGGTGATGATTTTCGATTAAAGAAGTAGCTAAGTCCTCTGACTTCTTAGCAACTCGTCCGGTTTCAGGTCCGGGCCGAGAAGAGTCAACCCGGACCGGCCCGAAGCCCGGACCAGAACCCTGACCTTTTCGCAGCCTAGTGAATGCGAAGCAGGGCGAAATTCGAAGCAGGGCGAAACTCGAAACAGGACGAAGTTTGAAGCAGGACGAACTCGAAACAGGGCGAACTCGAAACAGGGCGAATTCGAAGCAGGGCGAACTCGAAGCAGGGCGAACTCGAAGCAGGACGAAACTCGAAGTAGGGCGCCCTCGAAGTAGGGGGAACTCCAAATAGGGCAAATTTAAAGCAGAACGAAATCCGAGATCCAACGAATCTTGAATCGCGAGAAGATTTCGAGGTAAGACTATTTCTAAGGACACAGCTAGCTCGCTACTAGACAGAATATTAAATAATAGAGACAAGAAGAAAGGAAGTGGTGAACTCTATTTAATCAGAATGCCGATTCTTCAACTCACGATTTAAGTATACCATACATTTCAGCCAATCAATCAAGCTTAGCGGTGAGTGCGTATTAAAGAAGAGATACGTAATTTCTACGTCCATTTTCTACGCAACTAACAAATCCAACTTTTGATCGCCTTTTTGCCTGTCAGCGCAGTAATTTTTGGGTCGCGTCAAGATTTTGAAGTAGCTTGAGACTGCTTGCCCCCAACACTAGTTACAAAAAGGGTCGAAACCAGCCAAATCATGTATAGAATGGATACTCTGTAACATCTCATCGAAACCCACGATCCGTCTCAGATTTGATCAAAATCAGTACCTGGCTACCGTCTTGGTCACCTAGTTCCCACTGGCGGGTGCTTCAAATGTCGCCCACAATATGAACGCACTCTGAATGCCTCTGCATCCTATTCTTAAGGTATCTAAAGGTATCCCATGCGCCGTCGATCAAATGTGCCTTTTTAGCGTGCCAAGCATTTTGGGTCTTGGCATGCCTTTTTTCGTTTTTTTGATGAATCTCACCATTGAGGTCGATTTCTAACATGGATTTACGCAGATCGAAACGCATACCAAAGCCCAAGACTATATGGGAGGCAAAAGGAGCTCCTAGTGCAGCTAGCGATCCAAAAGTTACGAAGAATACTGCTCGAACAGAGCAACGAACAGCGCTCAAACCCATCGCCGCGGGGCCGCTTCCAAAAGCGCTTGAAATAGACGAAAATCAACTTCCTGAGCTCCCTAATTATTAGCTATTATCGATAGAATCATTGAATCAATAAATAGCTACACAGAAAACGCTCAAAATACGGATTTCGACAAAGAAGAAGATCTTAAATTCCTTTCTAGACCCTGGAAACTAGTTAATTTAACTAACATCTAGTGATATATTAGTTGTTTGCTTTATATAAAATATTATAGACTATCTAAACATAAAAAATATTAGAGCAAGTCAGGTTATTTAAGTATATTCTTAAGCCTAATAAGATATAAATAAATTTATTAATATTTTACGCTTTAAGAATATATAACTGCTCCTTATAAGGATTATAAAACCTTTGCTTAATAATTAGAGCTAATTAGTATTATTATTAAGCAAAATTATAAGGATAATTAGTAACTAAGCTCTTATTTAGTTATAAATAAGGCAATATTTATTTATAAAGGCTATAACTTTTATAAAGTTAAGCTGCTAAATAAGCTAATTAAAAAAGACTATAAGATTTAAGTACTTAATAATACTAAATATATATAACGTGGTTCACAAGCGTCTCGCGTATACAAGCGTCCTGCGCACTTTTCTTTCTTATCATAACCTTCTGACCATCGTACACAGTGTTACGACACGGATTGCTCGATGGCCCAAAGGGGCATTAGGGCTGAGGGCTAGGGCAGGCTTGGCGCCCTGCGCGTCATATCTCTATCCTCGCCTCCATAGCACTTAGATAGTCATCCATCTTCATACACACCCACTTGACATAGTCATACAGTTGCCTCCTATAGCTTCTTCGTGACTCTCCGCTATCTCTATAGCACCCTCACACCCTGTTGCACGGCCTTCCGTGTAACACACAGCCACAACACAAGAAAATCAATTATTCTCTACATCACTATCTTCCTCAGACGTCTCTTTAACCTCCTGACAAGTTCATACATTATAGTTAGTCTTGCTGTATCTTCCACAACGTTGTAAGCCTAACAACCTAGCCTGCGTAATACCCTCTTCTACTGACCTTCCACTTAACTACAGTCGTATAATCTCTTTTTGCTTAATTAAACTATATATATCCTTTATAGTAAGTGCACCTCTAGCTTATACACATGTCTTTTTAGCCCTCTAATGCTTTGTAAGGGCCTTATTAGCCTTATAAAGCATATAGACCTTCTTATATAAAAGGGTTATTTGATAAGTAATTAGCTCTATACCCTTTACTAATTACTTAATAGCTAAAAAAATACTATTTAGAGAGCTTCTTTAATATCTAATAATATAATTTTATATATACTTTAATTATAAAATAATATTATTAGAATTATATAATATCTAAAGAACTTATAAGTTAGCTTAAGAGGGAAGAGGTTTAATTAGTATTAATATTTGTAGCTTAATATCAAGCTTAGATAAGATAGCCTAAAAGTTATATAATATAAGGCTAGTATCGTAAAAGCTAGCTTTAATATTTTTAGTTATTATTATATTAAAGTAAATAGCTTTAAAGATAAAAAGAAACTTAGTCTCCTTAAGTTCTTTACTATATAATTACTTTAAGACACTAAAATAACTAATATCTAATAATTAAGTAAGATAAGAAGAGTATATAAGAAGATAAAGAGTAATAATATTTTTCTTTTTATAAAATTCTTTAAACTAAATAAATAAATAACTCTTATAATTATTTAAGATAATAATATTAAGATTTTTAGAGGTCTTTAACTTAGGATAAGTAAATTTTTAGTTAGAAAAGAAGATAAACCTAATTCTTAGTTAAGATATAAACTATTATAGTTATTTATACTTAGTTATACTCACTTATAGCATATATAGACGTAATGTAAGTAGAAGTGAAGATATAGACTCTAATAAGGCCAGGGGGCGCGGGCTCCGCTCCTCTGACTAATAGGAACCTTTAATACTAAAGAATCTACTCTTAGCTATTATCAAAGAGATATAACTAGTTATAAGTGGAAGCGAAGAGACAATAAGAAGAGGGATCAGTATAAGAGAGATGGAAACCTTAACCTTAGAAAAATAGAACACAAAACTTTAAGTAGCCTATAACGTCTATTAAACGCGCTAAAAACAATGCTATTAAGAATCCTTATAAATACTAAGGATATTATAAAATAAGTTTATACAAAGCTATAACTAGCTATAACTAGCTAGAGCTAAGTTGTTATATCTTCTCTACCCTTATTACCTCTTATTATATATGTAATTAATTAGTTATAAATAATTAAAACTAAATATAAGAAACTAAAGATATTTATTAAAAATTAATAGGAAAAGGAGAATGTTAAAAAAAGAAGTATATAAGATATAATAATAGCTATTAAGTCTAAAGAACTAAAAGAGGCTATAAAAGAGGTTATTATAGCAAGACGCCTCTCTAGCAGAGATCTTTTAGTATCTACTCTTACTAAATCTTTAAGGATTGCCCTTAAGAAAAGAATAAAGACTAGTTATAAGTAATTACATCTTCTGTTAAAGTTTTTAGCATTACTTTCTTTATTTTTATATATAGAGTAAGAGTTTAAAGAGTAAATATAAATAACTAAGTATAAATAATTATAGAGATCTATAAAGATAATTAATAACTATACTTAGACCTTAAAATCTTATAAATAATATAGCTTAAAAAGGCACTTTTAGATAAGAAGTAATATTATATATATAAAAAACGCGTCTTAAGCTTAGAGCAGCGTTATACAAAGTTATATAGCTACTACTTACTAATAGGCTTTACATAACACGTCTTATATAGAAGGTTAGTCATATCTTGTACATAATTAATTTAGGGTAGAAATCCTTATAAGTCTAGATTAAGGATATATTATATAAGCGTCTCTTCTTTAATCAGAGTTAAATTATGTTAGGCATTACATTCTTTAGCCTTTAGGGTATCCCTTATAAGCCTGAATACATCTAAAGGTGTCTCCTTCCTATTTGGGACTAGTACTTTTTGCTTTTAAAAGGCTAATTATTATAGCTATAAGACTATAAATAGTATCATTTAAAAGCTAGAAGAATTAGTTTTCGAATAATACTATTTATAGTCTTATAGCTATAATAATTAGCCTTTTAAAAGCAAAAAGTACTAGTCCCAAATAGGAAGGAGACACCTTTAGATGTATTCGGGCTCACAAGGGATAGCCCTTTATTTAATTGCAGAGGGTACTTTAAGGAATATTATATGTCTTTGTAATATCTTAGATTAATATTTCTTAGTGTATATAAATAGCCTAGATAGCAAGGAGAATTCTAGCTTCTTAAGATTAAGAATTCATAGTATTATTATATTATGACTATATATAATAGTTAAAACATTATAATAAGGAAGAAAAGTACGCAGGACACTTATATATATAAGACGCTTATAAACTACATTATAACTAGTTATAATATAGTTGACTTAATAAATCTAAAGCTATTCCTTAAGAAGGCATAAAAGTTAATTAAGTTACTAAAAAAGAGCTTATAAAGCTTAATATAATATATCTTATACTAATATTTGCCTTTATTATTTGTCTTATATAATATTTATATTAAATATATTTAAGGCATGTTTTTTGCTTCTTTTTAGATAACTTGTTTTTAAATATTAATATTATATAAGTACTTCTTACTTTATATATTTGCTATACTAGTACTACTTATAGAAATGCTTAAGGAATCTTTACATAAATCTTAAAACTAAAAGAATATAACTATAACCTTATTTAGAATTCTATATTTATAAAAGTTATTAATAATATGCTTATTTTTTTATAATAAGATAATAATACTATAATAGGTTATA